CCAGAATTGATCGAAGAATATGCAGGACAAGATGCAACACGTGGATTTGATGAGTTTGGTCACAGTGCAGATGCAAAACGTATATTGAAAAAGTATCTTGTGGGTGAATTAGTAGAGGTAATTGCTTTTCACGTTTTTATTATTTATATTGTATGTTATTATTTCTATTTACATTAATATTTCTTAATAATATATATATAAAATTATGAATAATTATAATCTTGTCAATCAAATAAATATTTGTTTTAAATTATAGGAAGACAAAATAAAGAATAGAAGTAAAAAGAATGGAATCTCTATTGATATAGAGGAAAAAAGTAGAATAAGAAGGTATGATAAAAATTTATTTTTTTTTAAATATATTTTAATTATTTTTTAATTATCGCCCATAGATATGATAAATTATATTTTAAATTTAATCATTTTATTTTATAAATTTTAAGTAAAGTGTTCAATAATTATACTTTTAACTTTTAGTTATTTGTAACTTTTCTAAAAAAACAATTCAAGTTAGCAAAAGAGTTATCTTGTAATTTGCATTAATTTGTATTTTTAAAGTTAAAAATTGTTAAATATTCTGAAAATTAAAAAAGGTCATAAAAAGAAAGAGAAAAATTAAGGAGGAAAAAGAAAAATAATATATTTATCAATAATTTACATAACAAATTAACGAAGAAATTATCTATGTATGATACGAAACTTTATTTGCAGATTTCTATCAATATTATGTGGCAAATTTGCAAAGTGACAAAGGAACGATCGACAAATTATATGTGTAAATAATATATTAATTTATTTTATTTTATTTTATCTGTGTACACAGATATAATTATAAAGCTAATTATAAACTTTGATGTAAAGTAAGAATAATTATTTTTATTATCATGTATATGTTTATTTTTTTAAAAAAATCGCATCTTAAAACTTTTATTTTATATGGAAATTGAGAGAATCGGAAATACTCATGAAACGTTGGCAGCGTTGCTAAATATATACGAATAAAAAATATGAATGAAACAATGAATCTTCACGAATGAATGTCCATTTGTTCTTAAACTGCCTTATTAAATTTTTTTTTTATTTTAATTTTTGATATCTATTAAAATTTATAACAAACAAAACAATACTAAAAAAAAGAAAATAGATAAAATCATTTATCATATAAAGATAGAAAATTGAAAGCAAACAATCCAAATCTTTTAATAAATTAATTAATCCCGAATAATTAAATTAATTATATTTTGCTATACGTAATTATAAAAAAAATTTCTTTTGAAAAGAAAGATAGATATGAAAATAAATAAATACAAAAAAATCAAATCAAATCAATCTCTTTCTCAATTATGTTTCGTGAAAATTATAATCACAGTTGTATATTATGATCAAATTAATTATTTTAATATAATTTTCAATATAATTTGTTCAATTAGTGAACAATGAAATTGAATGAATCAATCATCATACGAAAAGTGCAATAATAAAGTAGAAGAAAATTTAAATCCATCCGCCCATTATTTGACCAGTCGCTTTCGATTTTCCTCTCAATTTTGTCGTGGCTACTGGTTCTTGTGGCTCGTTTTTCGGCGGCTCGTTTTTCGGTGGCTCGTTTTTCTGTTCATTTTTTCTCTTCTCTTCTTCTTCCTTCTTCTTTTCCTCTTCTTCCTTCTTCTTTTCCTCTTCTTCCTTCTTCTTTTCC